TGGGTTCAATCCCCAGGTATCATAAAATAACAATACTAGAATAGATTAAAACAAGGAAGCTATTGCTACATCTATTGACAAAGATAAGGAAAGAACAGGAACTCTCAAACATTGCTGGAAGAAGTGTAAGTTGGTAACCTACTAAAACTATGGCTACCCTACACCCCAGCAATTCTATCCCAAATACAAAACAAAAAGGTATTAGTTCATGTGTCCAAAAGTCATGCACAAGGATACCCACTATAAGCTAGGTATGAGGACACATGCCTGCAATCCCAACACCTTGGGAGGCTGAGACAGGAGGATCACCATGAGAGCAGCCTGGGTCACAGTGAGTTTGAGGCCAGTCTGAACTACACAGAAAGATCCTGTCTCAAAAAAGAGGAAAAGAATATTCACTGAAGCTTTACTCATAACAGTCAAAAACTAGAAATCCCTGCAAGCAGGCAAGGGGTCAGGAGTTTGATCCCTGGGCCTGCCATGCCAGCCCCACCCCCCCAGGGTGCACTGAAATGGCAATGGAAACTGAGCATGGTGGCGCATGGCTGTAATCCCAGCTCTTGGAAGACTAAACAGGCAGATCAGTACAAGTCCAATCTAGCAGTGAGACCCTGGACACCCTGTAGACCCTTCCCTAAAATTAAAGCAAATAAAACCACCTAAAAATAATCCAAATATCAAACAGAAGAATGACTTAATAAGAAGACAAAAGTAATGTATAGCTTGCCAATCTATAAACAATTATATCTCATGTAAACAGGCTTTAAGGTTACAATTTCCAGGAATTAGTTTCAGCTTCAAGTATAAAATTAAGAAAGCTGAAAACATTGAAGCTAAAATACTATTAGCTTTCAAAATAATCGGTGCTGAAACAGTGCCACGTGACTATAACCCCAGAAATTTGGGAGACTGTGGGAGGAAGAACAACTGAGCCCAGGAGTTCACAACAAGCCTGGGCAAAATAGCAAGATGCCATCTCAAACAAACAAAAAAAAATCTTATATGAAAGCAGAGATCAAGTCATAGATATGACTACAACAGCATACTACTGAAAAATAACTATCATTTTTTGTGTAATCTCATCAGTTGCTACCTATAATACCCATGACCACTATAATACCTATAATACCTATAATGCCCATGACCACCTATAATACCCACCTATAATACCACCTATAATACCCATGACCACCTGGAGATAACAGAACTCCTTTGCATTCTAGCTTCCAAAGAAATTATAATAAATTTTCCATCAGTCCATTTTCCACTTTTGGATAATGACTATAAAAATATAATAATGTGATTAAATTGTGGTTGAAGAATCAAGTACTAAGATGACATCCACAAGTTGCAACTATGAACAAAATAGTGAAAAGAATAAATCTAACCTCCCCCCTCCAAAAAAAAAAAAAAAAAAATTCTGTACAGAGTGGCACTATTCACCCTGCAACAACCATTTGAAAAACCAAAGCACAAACTTACTCAGAGAAAGTTAGGGATTTTAAGGGCATGGAGATTCCAAACTCAATGCACAGGAGTTGTTAATGGTATGTAAAACAAGAAAGGGGAAAGCCAGAGGATGAACTGGGATTTACTTCTGAACTTGAAGCCTAACATTCAGAATGAGTCAAGTTCAAATAAAAATAAACATCAGTCCCCTTTAGCCTTGCCTGCCTGGATCTCTTCTGCTCCTGGTGGCCGGAACGATGGGTAGAGCAGCTCTCTAGTAGGCGGGCAGGCAAGGGGTGCCAGGGGTGCCAGGACCATTCCGGGGCCACACAAGACACCAGAAGTTTCCCTGGGTCAGCCAGGCATGGCCAGCTTATGATTTATTTCCACGGGAGGATCCGCTGCTGGTTTCTGAGCCAGCCTCACCAGTAGGTGCAAGAACCCTGAGCAGGGCCAACCTCTGGCCCTGATGGAGTTTGTGTGCAGCACAAGTGGTGGTCAGAAGCCTGAATTCCAAGTGCAGGTTGAACAGCCAGTACAAGAAGCCACAGAAGTTGAGGTGCTGCTCTCCTGCTCGTATTTCAGCTGATACCAACTGTCAATATAGTTACAATAGGAAAGTGCCTCTAACGAGGTGAGATACCCTTAAGTGTACCTGGAGTGGTTTTTAAAAAAAAAAAAAAAGTGAACGTTGTTGGATGGCATTTGACCATCCAACAAAAAGGCAGGGATCCTCTACAGAAGAGCAACTCGAATCTTAGTAAGCAATGTGACAAGTTTCAACTTGCTTGGGGCAGTCAGTCTGAGCTCCTGTTTAGAGGAGAATTTTAGAGAGGCATAAATGATGGATCATGAGCAAAGCATTAACACGAAATTTTGTTTCAAACTGCAAGAAAGCGCTAAAGAAATACAGAAAATGTTTAAATTAGGTATGGCAATGCTGCAGCAAGCGGGAAGATGGTTTACAAGTGGTCTGAGGAATTTCACAAGGGTTGTGTATCTGTTAAAGATAAGGAGAGATATGGATGTCCTTCAGCATCAAAAAACAGAGAATGCTGAAAGAGAGAGCAAAATGATTTGACCAAACAAGCAATTGACTATTAAGAAAATTTCTAAAGATCTGAACATCTCTTCTGTACCATACAAAGCAAGTTAATGATAAAATTAAACATGAGGTGAGTCCACAATGTATCCATACACAACCACAGGAGTTAAGAGCAGTGGAGACAGCTCAGGTGGTGACAGGGCAATGTTTCCCCTTCATAACTCTTACTGAGGTAGGTACTGTTCTACCATGTTAGGGACCAAGAGTTAGGAGGGAACTCAGGTTCCCACTACCTATGAGTAGCTGGGAACAAGGAGCCCCAGATTTGTAACTTTGTAGCTATGCGAGTAGCGCTATGCCTTGACATTTAATGTGTCTAAATAGCAGTAAAAACTATTTATAAAGATTAATAATAAAAAAAGATTAATCCATTAGTTCAGGGGAAGCAAAACCACAGAGCTGTTAAGAATATAAACTCTAGGACTGGGGAAATAGCTCTGCAGTCTGAGTGCCTGCCTGGCAAGCACAAAGACCTGCATTCAATCCCTGGTACCACATGGCATGCCAGCCACTGAAACTGGGCATGGTGGTACATGCCAGCAATCCCAGCACTGGGGAAGCTGAGACAGGAGAATCACTATGACTCCGAGCTGCAAAGTGAGACCCGGTACCAAATAAAAAGAAAATTTTAAAACACATTTTAAACTTAAAAAGAAAAAGAATATAAACTCTTCATAGTATTTAATTGCATTGAACCTAGTTTCCCAAACTTTGGACCAAAAGGAACATCTGTGAGCCTGTTGTTTTTGTTTTTGTTTTTTTTTTTTTTGGGTAGAACCAGGGATTGAACTCAGGCCTTTGTGCTTGCCAGGGAAGCACTTATTCCACTGAACCATCTCCCTGGCCCCAAGCCTGTTAATTTTTTAAATGTATGCGGTATATAATAAACTGTGAAAAGGATTTAAGCAACATAGTAGATAACAGCATGTTAAGTATCAGAGGTGACAGTTTCATGTCAGAAGAAATGCAAGACTGGAAAGATGCCCAAAGCCCACAAGTTCATTTCTTGTACTTTTTCACATGTCTAGCAATTTGACTTTTTTTCATTAACATGTATGCCAATTACATATAATGCATTTTTCAGAAATTTTAAATAAATGTCTATTTGGTATAAAAATATTACAATTAAGAAATAAACATTTACAAGTCAAAACAAAAAACCTAAAGCCTATCAAAAGATGAATACAGGTAATATGATAACAGTTGAGCGAACTTAATACTAAACTTTTTTTTTTTTGAGCCAAGGTCTTGTTTTATAGTCCAGGCTGGCTTTGAACTAATAATCTTCCTGCCAGGCTTCTTTGTATGGGATTATAGGTGTGTACCATCAATGCCCAGCAGAAATCAAAAACTCTGACTTTCAACAAGCCAAAAACACTTTTGCATTCTGGAGCATTTCAGATTCTGGAGCTTTTCACATCAAGAATGTTCACAGTGAAGTCTATGAAAGTATTCAAAAGTTAGAAACTCCAAAATCTCAAACACAGGGCTGGGGATATAGCTCAGCAGCATAAGTGCCTGCCTAGCAAGCACAAGGTCCTCAGTTCAATTTCCAGTACCGCAACTTCAGATAAAGGATACTGTGTGTGTGTGTGTGTGTGCGCGCGCGCGCGCGTGCACATGCGTGGTGTACTATTCAGCCTTCAAAAAGAAAATCCTGTAAGTTTTAACAACATGGATGAACCTGGAGAATATTATTGTTCATGAAATAAGGACAATAGGGCTGGTGAGATGGCTCAGTGGTCTAAAGCACCTACTTAGAACAAGCTTACAAAGCACAGGGAAAACAGTTCAATCCCCCAGCACCACATGCCAGCCAGCCCCGCCCCCTGGTGGGCTGAGCTGCCCACACACACACACACACACACACACACATAAATAAATAAAATTTAAAAAAAAAAGAAATAAGGACAATACAGAAAGACAATACAAGCAACTGCAAATGAAGTGCTACTCATAAAGTATTCCTGGTGTTGAGCAGGGGAGATGGGGAGATACTGCCCCTAAGTAAAAAATTTCAATTATACCAGGTAAGTTGGTTTTTTTAAGAAATATTACATCATGCTATTTTCATATATAATAATCTTCAGCTTTTTTAAGCTGGGCAATTTAAATTTATTTTTAATCTACTTTGTGCCTCATATGGGTAAATTTTGTTATGACTTTTCTTCCTCAATCATTAATTGTCTATATATATGACCAAGAAACATTCTACATGAAAATAAATAAAAGGTCTCATTTGCCTACAATTCTGGATCCTGAGCCCAAATGACAATATACAAAAATAAATTGTATTTCACAGAACATAAATACAGTTTTTATCTATTTTAATACAGTTTTATAGATACCAACAGCTACAGCATTTTCAGGACCAATATATTAAATCCAAAATCTAGCCTATCTCAATCTTCCTTTCATTTTTAAGAACAAAAAAGTAATTACCTACCTTTCAGAAAGCTCTTGCTTCAACTGAGGAACTTCAAGTGTTGAATCAGTATCCACAAAACCAAGAAAGTCTTGCTTTATGTTAAGGGGAGGCTTCTCCAAACCCTTGCCTGACGTTTCATGATCCCTTGACATAGGATCAAAATCACTTGGATCTATTTCTGATCCTTCACCTTCTGTAAGACGGACCCGATGACCAGGAGAACCATTAATGCTACTGCCTTCTTGATCAGAGCTGTTCTTTTGTTTTCCATCTCTGAGGGGCTTATTGTTTAGTCCATCATCCCGAAAACCTTTGGCAAATGGATTGTAATCGATTTTCAGTTGGGTAATCTGAGTGTTCTGATAGGCTGTTACTGCAAAGAATTCAGTCTGTGGGAAGGTAAAAGTGTGGACCCCAGGCCCATTTAATTGTATCACTTCTGTAGCCTTTTCTGCAGGCACCAAATGAAGCCTTGGCAGGTAGCGATGCATAGAATGCAAGATAATATGCCCTTCTTGGTCCAATGTATTGTTGGTAAGTTTGAGTTTATAAAAAGATACTGGTTGATGCATCCAATAATGACCAGTGGAAGGAGATTCTGGATGGATGAAAACTCTTCCCAAAACATGGGGCTCAGCCTTCCCACTGGGTTCCCACCAACGACCATTCCATTTATAGCGATGGTTATCCACAGGAGATATATCCATGACAAGGATATACTTTAAATTTGTATCTAAACCTGTTATCCAATAACGACAATAAGGAAACATGCGTCTTCCCTGCTTGGTCAGAATCATTTCTGTGCTTCGATTATGGAACTCATTCCACATACTATTATTATCAAGAGTGACAGTAATTCTTCCCACAGTACAATCAGCTGGAAGGCAAATTTTCCCTTTAGATTTTCCTGGTGATGACACGCTACTAGCCAAAGCACAAGCATCCTGATTGGTAACCAAAATTCCTTGATCAGTTTTGCCATTTCCTGGTTGTTTTAGGATGACAAAGAAGGTAGGTGCTGCTCCTCCCACTGTCCCACCATCTTGATTAGCCAATATAATCTGTTTCTCCTCCATGATTCCAGTGAGAAACTCAGTAGTGAGATAAATGTAGTCACCACATAGTCACAAGGGCCTTCCTATCCTACAAACAAGCAAAAACAAAATCTTTAATGAATATTTTACTTAAAAACTACCAAAGTGAGTCATTCCCAAATTTTCTAAATTCTTCTAAAACAATCCATATACCTTTCTTTCAATCACTTAAAGATCTTCATTATGCACTATCCAATCATTCTAATATATTTTTTCTGGTTTGCTTTGGGGGGGGGGGTTATTTTGTTCATTTGGTTTTTTTGAGACAAGGTCTTGATACATAGTTCTGACTGGCCTTCAAGTCACTGTGGAGCCCAAGCTGGCCTCAAATTTGTGATGACCCTCCTGCCTTGGCCTCCTGAGTGCTGAGCAGCACAGGTGTGTGTCACCACACCCAGCTCCATTGTAATCATTTTTAACTGCACTTTAAGTAGTCACAACACTAAAACTCCAAAAAGTCACTATAAAATCTTATAATTTCACATAAAAAAACAACAGTTTAGTGATTTTAGAAAATCCATATGAAAAAAATAAAATTTAAAGCAGTAACCTGCACATTAAAAAAAGGATTCCAACACTTCATAAATTTGCCAAAGATTCCTTTACATAGCCGAATGCTTTGGGAGTAGGTGAAAAACAAAATCCCACTTCATTCTAAATAGTAACTGTTCAGAAATATTTCTTGGGTTTTTTCAGTAGGTGGTTTTTTTGGAATGGAGACTCAAACTCTAGACCTTGTACTTGCCAGACAGACACTGCACCACTAAGCTAAACCCTAGGCCTCTAGAATTATTTCTTTATATGGTACTGACGTGCTCTCATAAATAGGTGAAAAACTACCTGATTAATGTGTGATGCTAAATAACTGAGACTCACTGGGAAAAACATAATCTTATACTTTTAAAAATTCTAGACATGTTATGATTTGGTTTGTTTTTTGTTTGGTTTTCTTTTGTTTTAGTCTTTTTGAGACAGGGTGTCACTATGCAGTTCAGGCTGACCTTGGGCTCACTTTGTAGTCCAGGCTGGTCTCAAACTCCCAAGTATCACTCCCCCAACCCCACCCCCAGCGCTAAGGATTACATGCCCAGCGTAACTTTTCTTTTTAAAGAAATCAACTTTTTTATTTTTTTTTTTTTTTTAGTAAGACATAAAACCAAAAGCCAATAAAAATAAAAAGACTTGGGGGGGGGCTGGAGAGATGGCTCAGTGGTCTAAAGCACCTACTTGGAACAAGCTTAGCAAAGAAAGCATCAGGGACCGCGGTTCGATCCCCCAGCACCACATGCCAGCCAGCCCCGCCCCCTGGTGGGCTGAGCTGGCCACACACACACACACCCAGCCCCGCCCCCTGGTGGGCTGAGCTGGCCACACACACACACACCACTCTCTCTCTCTCTCTCTCTCTCTCTCTCTCTCATAAATAAATAAATAAAATAAAATTTAAAAAAAAAAAAAAAAGACTTGGGGAAGGGAATCATACTCCACTATATCTCCTCTTTTGTATTACTATGTGACAGTCTCACTAAGCTGCTAAATTCCCCTGGCCGGGATTGAATTTGCAATTGTGCCTCAGTCTTTTTTTTTTTTTAATTTTATTTATTTTGTGTGTGTGTGTGGCCAGCTCAGCCCACTAGGGGGCGGGGCTGGCTGGCATGTGGTGCTGGGGATTGAACCGCGGTCCCTGCGCTTTGCTTAGCTTAGCTTGTTCTAAGTAGGTGCTTTAGACCACTGAGCCATGTCACCAGCCCTGTGCCTCAGTCTTTCAGGCTAGTTTTACTAGCATGCATCAGTATACCCAGCTACAAAAAAAACTTTTTCCAATGCTGGGGATTGAACCTAGGGCTGCATATACTAGGCAAGTGCTCCACCCCTAAGCTACATCCCCAGCCCTATAAAAAATTATTTTTAATTTTTATTTGATACAGGGTCTTGCTATGCAGTTCAGACTCAGTGATCCTCCTGTCTCAACCTCCCCAACACTGCGATTACAGGCCTGCGCCACCACACCTGGTTTCATGGGTGGCATAGTACACCCGGATTTCTGAAGCCAACACAGCATGCAGTACTGAGGATTGAACTTTGGTCCTTGCACCTGCCGGGCAGGCACTTAGATTACCAAGCTATCTTTTCCCCAGCCCCTACAAGAAAATTTTGATAAATTCTTTTTTTTTTGGTACCAGGAATCAAACTCAGGACCTTGTACTTGCCAGGCAGATGTTACACCACTGAGCCAAGGGTATCCAGCCCCTCGATGAATTCATTAGGTAAATGCTTTAAATCTGACCAAAAATTAAGCAAGATTAAAAAGCAACTAATTAGCAAGCAAAAGTCACATGTCAGCTTCCATCATAAGGAACTTATTCCTGTAATGCAAAATCTTTCAGGGATGGAGATGCAGGGCTTGCTTGGCATGCACAAGGTCGTGGGTTCAATCCACAGTACTGGAAGGGGAAAAAGCAAAAGCTTTCTTACAGGTCAACAAGACCAAATAACTAAAAAAAAAAAAAAAAAGAAAAGAAAAATGGTGAAAAACAGGAAGAGTGGCTAAAAAAATACACAGCTTCAAAATAAGAGAAATGTAGGGTCTGGGGATATATAGCTTAATAGCACAACACCTGCCTAGGCGGTCATGAGTTTGGAGTTGGGGGGGATATGTAAATTGCGCTAGGGATGTAGTTCAGCTGATAGAGTGCTTTGCCTACCATGTGCCAGGCCCTGAGTTTAATCCCCAAAACAGAGGTGCAAAAACAGAAATGTGAATTAATACCATTCTGAAATAGTACTTTTTCTTTATCATACTGGCAAAAAATCAAAGACTGGTAGTTAAAAAGGGTATAGGCCAAACCAGCATTATCATCTAACCAGTAGCTGGGAGTCTAACATGACAGGTCAATTTGACCTAAGAGAGAGGTCAATTTGAAAATTAAAACTACAAAAACATATATCTATGACACAGCAGTTCTCCAAGACTTTTATCTTAAATATATTCACACCTATGACAAATCATATACATACAAGATCATTCCATGATTCCCATTTATAAAACCAAAAGATGGAAGCTGAGGTTGCACTATGACTAGAAACTGATTAAACAAATGCTATATCCATAAAGTGGAATTCTGTGTAAGTATAAGACAATGCATTAACTTTACAGGTGCATATAAATATTATCTATAAATATTTTAAGGGTGAAGTGCTCAAAATAGTCCATAGATCTAGTTTTTTACACACTTGATCCTTTTTTTGCTTTCTAGTGTGGAATAAGGTGCTATTTAACTTTGTTCTTCCATAGTTAATATTTTTTATGTATATGCTTTAATGATTTTTTTCTTTAAATTAGTTTTGGACAATTTTTTTTTTTTTTTTTTTTTTTGTGGAACCGGGGATTGAACTCAGGGCCTTGGGCTTGCCAGGCAAGCGCTTATTCCACTGAGTCATCTCCCCGGCCCCTGGACAATTTCATTTTTGTGTATCTTGGTATGATTTAAATTTCTTGTGCAAAAGGTTCATTTTTCTTGGAAGTATGGTATTATAAGTTGAACTAAATTCAGAAATTTTATTTTTTTTCAGAAATTTTAAATCTTTAAATATTTATTGCCTACTCCTATCTACTTTGAGAATTCTAATTACATAAATATAAGTTTCTTGGTTTTGTTTTGTTTTTTTTTTTTTTTTGGCGGAACCGGGGATTGAACTCTGATCCTTGCATTTGCTAGTCAAGCGCTTACCCTACTGAGCCATCTCCCCAGCCCCTAGTTTCTCGGTTTTGACAGTGAAAAATAATAAATAAGTCATAGATTACTCAGGCTTCTTACAAAATAATTGTTTTCCAAGCCAAAGAACAAATACTACCTGTTTGAAACAAACTAACATAAGGAAAACAGAAAAGGAACTGGTAATATTGGTTATGTCCAAGGCAAACAGGCAGCTTCATAAATAGTCTTTGACATGTTATAAGTTTCTACCTTGTGAACATACAACCTACTCAAAAACAAGTTAAAATCAGTTGCTCTTTTTAGGGTGCTGGGGACTAAACCTAAGGCCTTTACAGGGAATCTATATTATCAGCCTTTCTTATTTTTTGAGACACAATCTCACTTAAATTGTCCAGGTGGAACTTGTACTTAGGATCCCCTTGCCCCTGCCTCCCAGAGTGCTGGAATTACAGAGTGCTCCACCATGCCCATTTTAGAAGGATTTTTTTTTGGGGGGGGTGGGTGCTGGCTCAGGATGCCTTAAGGAAAGGTCTGGCAAGGCATGAGGATCTGAGGACCAAACCACAGTATCCTGCCACTAACTGGATTTACAATAAGCAGGTACTTAAACAACTGAGCTAACGGGTAAACCCACACCATGTCCAGTTTTAGTTAATTTTTGTTTTTGTTTTAAAGGCCATAAATCTAATGCCTTGTAAATCTAAAACTTATTCAAAAAATAAAGTTAAGGGCTAAGAATGTAGCTCAGCTGTGCAGTGCCTGTCTAGCAGGGGCAAGGCCCTGAGTTTGATTTCTGGCACCAAAAAAGAAAACAGAAAAGTAAAACCTGGCATGGTGGCACACACATCAGGAGGCTAGAGCAGGAGGATCATCATGAGTTCAAGGGTAGCCTGGGCTACAGAGTAAGGTCAAGAGCACCCTTACTACACAGTGAGACCCTGGAACGGGAGAATGAGAAATGGACAGAAAGGGAGAGGGAAGAGGAGAAAGAGGGGAGGTAAGAAAGGGAAAGGGAGGGAAGGGGAAAAGTGAAAAAAAACAAAAAACAAAAAAAAAAACCTATATATTATTTATATGAAATAGACAAGATACACAAATCTTCATAAAAGACCTAGAGAAAGTACATTAGTGTTGACAGGAGACTGGAGGGAAAATTTGGACAGTGCTTCTTCCAGTACTTCTTCCTTTTTTGTTTCCTGGCTTTATGCTCTTTTTCAATGTTTAGGATTAAATCCAGGGCACAATGGGCTTCATCCCCCAGCCTTTTTAAAATTTTATTTTGAAATAATGTCCAAATAAATTGCTCAGATTGTCCCCAGGCTATGGTCCT